ATATCTCTTCCTCGGGTGCCGCGTGTGTGCCGATTTTTCTTGGCCGTGAGATCTCATCTCACGGTTGCCGTTTACCGTCTCCACTTGCCCCATGTCGGAGTCACCTCTTTCTAGCCTTTTGGGYTAGTCGTGGCTCATTTTCCCTTAGCCTAGGCATCCTTATGYAGTCCGTTATTTCCCGGACTGTCATTTTCCTAGTCCCACAACCCCACAACTCGCCCCATGCTAAAAGAAAATGAAGCGTTTGATTTTCAAGTGCATCCGGGCTTAATATTGTTCAATCAGACTCGTCTCATTCACACTTTTCATGTATGTAAACAGCAGCACARCAAACTGGCGACATGCGCCCACTCAATACTTAGAGATATGGCGCCCAGATAAGAGTTCACTTTYACTGGCTATRGCGGCYCARCGCCCAACAACTCACTGTTCACACACTCTGGATCACCCTAGATATCCCACACGCATCACCCTGAGCACTCACACAACACACACGCACACACTGCACTCTAAGCTACGGTTATGGCAGCTATGGCTGTTGCTACCCTATCGCTATGGCTACACTTCGTCACTCTCGCCCACTTCGTCCTCGGGCGCTACTGCAGACCTCCTCGCACAAGACGTTGAGACAGCGCTTCCGCATCGCTTCCGCATGAATGAATGAATAGCTGTGCTCGGCCTCTTGATTTATACTTCTGTGACTCGTTGGTCTGCCCTGTTTCCCTGGCCCACGGTGTACATTGTCCCAGGCGGTACTTGCTTGACTGGACCGGACTGGCTGGACTGGGACTGCTGACTCTGCACGGTGGACTTAAACCACTTGCCCACTTGCCTCGACCTACAGTGGGTTGACTCCGAAAGGCCACTTCTAGAAACATCTACTTGGCCTTTCGGTACTGTAGCAGCTACGACTCTGCCCTTTCAAGTAAGTAGCAGCTACGACTTTGACTCTTCGGAAAGTCTACAACTAGGACCTTTAGACTGTCTAGACTCCTGCCCGACAGGTCTACAGTTCGAATCCCCTATACCCTGTAACCTACGATGTCCTACCTACCACTGGCGGTCCTACAGGTCGCAGGTTCAACTCTACGGTTTGACACGGTACTGTACATAGGTAAGGTGGGGAACTAGGGATCGAGCCCTGGGATCTACATCAGCTACTGCGAACTGGTGAATACCATTTCAGCCTCGCCGGCCTAAATTCGAGGTTCTCCGAGAATATTTCAGTTCAAGGCAGGACCCTTACCCTTCCTGTCTCTTTCGTAGGCCTTAACTATGTCGGGAGCTGTTTCTAGAAGTTCTGTTCTGGTGAACCACCGGTCGTCTTCTAGTTCCTGATATGCAAATCTGACTTTATACTGTTTCTGAGGACGACCTCGACCTCCTGTTCTAAACACATCTTCACCTACAATGCCATCAATGTCGTACCTCCCATCCATGTCAGGAGGGATCATGGAACGCCTAGATGGAAACTGATCACTTACTGTGCACGGCAACAACTTTGACGCATGGAAAACTGGGTAGGTGTGGAGGTGTAATGGGATCTCTACTGAATATGACGGACCATCCTCTTCGCCCTTGACTTCTAGAACTGGCCACGGTCCTCTATATGCGGGCAATAACTTTTTCGAGATGTTCTCCTCAGGAGCAAACTCTTTAGCTTTGACTAAGTCGCCTACTTGGAACTGTGACGGGCGACGATGTTTGTTGGCTTGCTCTATCATCCTATGTTGGGCCTTCCTGAGGTTCTCTACAACAATAGCTAGTTCCTTCTCGTGTTGGATAGCAAACTCCCTAGTACCGGGCGGTAGCCTATAAATTTGCCTTCCCGGTTAAGTCCTTCAAACGGTCTGCGTGGCTTAAAGGACTTGTGCAGTTCATTGGGAGTGCGGCACGTAGACAAATGCACACTATTGTTATAGGCACTGGCTACCTTGGGGAGCATCTCGTCCCAGTCAACTTGATCAGGTCTAATGTACATTCGTAGAACTTGCTGCAGGATCTTATTCATTTGTTCAGTCTGACCGTTGGTCTCTGGATGACGGCCAGACGACATCAACAACTTAGAGCCATAGACTCTCATCAACTCCTGCCAGTTCTGACTTGTGAACCGGGTGTCTCTATCACTAACTATGGACAATGGGACCTCGTGTTCACTGACCCAATGATCAAAGAACTTACGGATCACTAACTCGGTTCGTGCCTCTGAAGGCAAAGGTACAAAAATAGCATACTTGCTAAACCTATCAACTATCACCATGACTTGGCTCTTGCCATGTCTACTCTTGACGTCGGCGTCCATGAAGTCTATGGACACTGAATCCCCAGGTTGATCAGGAATAGGCAAGGGTCTGAGAAGACCGAGCGGAGCACGCGTAGTGGTCTTATTCCGCTGGCAAACTTTACAACTGCGGACATACTCTATGCAGTCATTCTTCATCCCTGACCAGGTGTACGCGTGCATCAGGTTGGCTAGAGTCTTTTGCCAACCAAAATGACCCTCTGTGTCGTGACATTCTCCTAGGATCAGACTACGGATCTCTTCACTATTGGGAATGCACAGGCGGTCAACTACGTTAGTCTTCTCGAATAATAGTCCACCTGTAGTGCGGTAATCTGGCTCAGTCTTTGGGGCCTCCTGTACTCGCTTGAGGAGGTCACTATAGATAGGGTCCTGCGCATACGCTTCTTTAACCTTTTCCTACAGGTCTCTTCCTATATCCAGATAGTGAACTATCGCTCCAAAGTCGTCCGCTCTCCTACTCAGAGCGTCCGCAACTACATTATATTTCCTCTTGACTGGCTTGAGCTCGAAATTGTACTAATCTATTTCTGCGGCCCACCTAGTAAGCTTAGGTGTTATCTTGGGCTGCGTCTTTAACCATCGCAATGTTTCGTGGTCAGAATAGACTTTGAAATGCCTCCCAAACAAGTAGTGCTTCCAGTGTTCTAACGCTTGCCTGAGAGCGTAGAGTTCCCTCTCATAAGTAGATGTCGCAACCTTCTCTGAAGGCATCCTAGCAGACATGAACTCTACGGGCCTATAACCATTGCCATCGTCTTGCTGCAAAACAACACCTATGCCGTACTGACTAGCGTCCGTAGTGACGACAAAGGGTAAGGACGGATCGGCTACTTTAAGGACTGGATACTCTATCAGTGCCTGCTTCAACTTCTTCATAGCAGACGTGCAGTCCTTGTCCCACTTCCAGATGGTCTCTTTTCTGAGCAGTCTGCGAAGGGGCGCAGCAACAGTGGAGAAGTTCCTTATGAACTTCCTGTTGTAGTTTGCTAGGCCTACGAACGACCGCAACTCTGTCAACGTACTCGGTGTGGCCAATCCCTGATTGCTGCAATTTTACTATCCTCTGGCTTGATGCCATCTCCGTCTAAGACGTGGCCTAAGTACAAAACTTGGGTCTTTGCCCATTCGCACTTCTTTGCGTTGATCTTGAAGTTAGTTTCTCTTAGCTTCTCCAAGACCTGCCTGAGATGACCCTGATGCTCTTCGAGGGTCTTACTAAACACTAAGATATCATCCAAGTACACTACAATAAACCTATCTAACCAAGGCCTAAACAGGTCATTCATGCACCGCTGGAAAGTCGCTGGCGCGTTGGTTAGTTCAAAGGGCATCACGATGAACTCGTAGTGCCCGTATCTAGTCCGAAAGGCTGTCTTGTACAGATCATCAGGATGAACCTCTATCTGATGGTATCCGGACTTTAAATCTATCTTCGTAAAATATCTGCACCCCTACACTCGATCTAGAATATCGTCTATTCTGGGCAGTGGCTCAGCATTCTTAACTGTGATAGCATTCAGACCCCTGTAGTCTATACACATCCTAAGCTCTCCCTCCTTCTTGGGGACAAACATAACAGGTGCTCCAAATGGAGACGAACTGGGCCTAATCCAACCCTTCTCGAGGAGCTCGTCTTATTGCTTGCGCAACTCCTCTAACTCCCGCGGAGACATCCTATACACGGCTCCTTTGGGGGTTCTACTGCCAGGCTCGATCTCAATGCGGTGCTGGATAGGCTGCGGTACTACTCCTGTTGGCGGCTCAGCTAGATCTTTAAACTCCTCCAACAGCTTGGCAATAGCAGGGTCTATAGGCTTCTCTTCCTTAGGCTCAGTTACTGGCCTAACATAGGCTACAAAAACCTGTTCCTCTAATTGCTCCTTTTTTACTAGTCGTGCAATCGTAGGAGCACTAAGGCAACAATGCGCCAGGGAGTTGTCTACTCCTAACACGTGGAACAGACGGGCAATCTTAACACCGCCTGACGGGTTAGGGAGCCTACACTCGTGCTCTCTCAAATGGAGTGTGGCCCCAACTGCCTTTCCCAGTCCATACCTAGGACTATATCAAATGGGAGGCTATCCTCTACGAGGAGAGTCAGGGAATGGAGGACCTTCTCCACCTTCCCATCCTGTTCTAGGCAGAAATATGCCTGGACTCCCTCTACGTATTCTTCCACTCACATGATGCGATTGTCCGCGAGGATACTTACTATGGGGTCCGCTAGTCTTTGGACCTTTAACTGCAACTTCAGCTTCAGCAGCGCCTTCCTACTGATATAACTACGAGTGGCTCCACTATCCACTAAGGCGCCTGCTCGTCCTCTAAAAATCTCTGTGTCTACTAATATAAGTTGTCCCTTATTCTCCTTTTTCATCTTGGCCCAGGCGGGCATCCTCTCCTTCAATTATTCATCCACGCCTGTGAGGGAGGTATCTAGAGAGACTCTAACACAAGCAGTCTATGGACAACCATCTAGACACCGGCCTGCAACCTCTGCCATAGGCACATGTGGTGTGGGAGTCTCCTGCCGGCTAACGCTATTTTCCCCACATGGCCTTATGGTAGGGGCAGTTGCTACCCCTACCGGCGGCTGCCTTTTGGCCCTTGAGCAGCCGGTGGGGTCTCTCTATACTTCGGACAGTATTTAATGATGTGGCCAGGGTCACCGCAATAAATGCACTGCCCCTGGGTCACACGCTGTTGCCATAAGCGTTGGTCCAGACCCAAATCTTCCCAAGGCCTGCCTTGAGGCAGCCCTGGGTGCCAACCACTTCTTCTGTACAGGGACCTATTCCCAGACCGGTTTTACGGGGGACCTTGACCCCTTCCTCCCGCTTGGCGGTTTCCTCCTCTGCCGCCAACCCCCTGATCGCCCTGAGAACGGTTCCCTGAGGCCCGGCCCCCTTGGCCCTGGCCTCGTCCTCCTCCTTGCGGCCTCCCTCCAACCGCAACAGCAACATAGGTCCTCCTCTGACTACTACTACTGCCATCGTCCTCTAACCCCCACTCAATCTGCTCGTAGGGGATCTCGTCAACACTACCTTCATCTAAAGTGAGGACAAGACTATCCTTAGTCTTAACTTGCCCTGAGATAGTGCGACCTTTCCATTGCTTTCCTTTGTCTAGGTCTTTGTGCCAGAAGGTAGAAAGTGACACAGACTTTGCCTCAAAAGCCACCACTTCACGGCTAAGGGAATCATAAGTGGTGGCAGGGTCTTTGCTCTTTGCGAAGAAATGCCCTCGAAAGGCTTCGGGCATAGCCCGATAGAAGAGGCCGACCAATTGGGTCTCAGTGACCCCGTGGTCAGGTACAGCCACTAATTCGTCCATTGTGCCCTTGAGGGCCCTAGCACTCTTCCATTTACAAGAGTGGATTGTCTGAAGCCTATCTGAGGCCTTGACACTACGAGCGACATCAGCAAATCGCTCCCGCAACAGTCTCATAAAATCGATGAGGGGGGTGAACGACGAATAAGCAACTGCGTCATCATTGCAGTTAGCAGCGTGGACTAGGGATCTTGCGAAACTGGCAGCCTCATCTCTAAGTGCATGAATTGCAATCAACACGTGCTGATCCGGGGAGACCTGCTGCAAATGCACATAGGTCTTGACGTTGGCCTCCCAATTGTCAAAGTTCTCTTCCCTCTTTCCATTGTAGGAATCGGGGAACTTAACTTCGACCGGCTCCCTGCGAGGACGTGCCTCTTCCTCCTTGGGAGCCGTCAGCTTGACGCCCTCAATGGCGCCAATGCAGAATCGTTCTGTTTTCTCGAGGCGATAATTCACCTCGGACCCGACTGCGCCTACCAGTTCGCGGGCAAAATCCCGAAATCCCATCCGCATTGAGCGCACGGCCATATCCTGACTTCTACTAAACTCATATTGTTCTCCCTGTACCCGGGCCAAACGCTCAACATTCTGGGCAATGATATTTTTGCCTTCCCGTTTGCTCCCACTAGTGCTCACGCTAGTGGTGCTAATATTGTTTGCCGTCAAGATCCTTGATCCTGACGGTACACCTTGCTTTAATTACTTGCACCTCATGGCGCGCCATAATTTTTCCTCGGGACTTCACAAGTCCCCGCCGCTTGCCCGCGCTGGTCCCCGGCACTAGTCCCGCTAGTAGTCCCCCTAGTACTCGCCCCACGCTAGTCCCCGACACTAGTCTCGCTAGTAGTCCCGCCGGTACTCGCCATGCGCTAGTCCCCAGCACCTTGCCCCGCCGGTGGTCCCCGACATTTTGTCCCATCGGTGGTCCCCTACACTTTGTCCCGCCAGCGGTCCTCGACACTTTGTCCCCTCGGTGGTCCCCGACACTTTGTCCCGTCGGTGGTCCCCGACACCTTGTCTTGCTCTTGTTTCGCATGCCGACATTCCCGATTGTGGCTCTTTACTTCGCCCATGGCCCCTTGGCCATCTTGACATCGCATCCCGGTGGCCCACTTGGCCCGAGCCACGTCCTCGCGCGCCGACACTCCGCTTATTTCTTTCCTTTCAATTATTTTCTGCTTGCGTCGTGCAACTTGTGACACCACCTTCCCCGACGATCCTTCTCCCTTTCGGGGGAAGTGTCGTCTCTGCTAATTTCTTATGGTCTCTCGCCGCTCGCCGTTCCACTAGCCTCTCCTTGACCCAGTGGCTCCGGCACCTCCGGGCAGCCTCTAAATCTCTAAGTGCCAGTACTAATGCCTTTAGTCCTCTTACCCTTCTTGCCTCCGGCTTTCTCTGCCGTGCACAATTCTGCGATATACCACCTCTTACTATACAAGACTTATCTCGGGACCCACCGGTCCCGACACATTCCCCCCACTCATTCACAATGTCCTCATCGCGCACCAGTCCTTAGTTAGTAGGAGGTTTCAGAGGGGTAGACGGAGGGGGAGAGGGGGTGGGGTGAGACGGGTAGTTAGCTTGCCAGGGTTCTTTTTGTTTTTTTCTTATTCCTTTCTCAGGGTGTCCTTTAGTTTTCTGCCCCTTGGGGCGGAGGAGGGTGTGGAGGGCCGAGGGCCTCCTTCAGGCTTCCCTTTTCTCATCCCATGTCAGTCAGGTTCCTTCTACCGTTGTCGCGCGCATCGGCCCCCGCGCGAGCGAGGGCCCTCCCGGCCATGTCACGCAAGAGTAAAACAAAAAAAATCAAGATCGAGAGACAACTCGGGAACGACGCTAAGTATCCCGCGAACCGCCGAGACGGACGCGGTTGCATCGCTCCTTCGCCGCTCTAGCCGGGTGTGCCAGCTATACATCCCGAGGTCCCCTACTACAGGATAGGTTCCCGCGGGGCATAAGCTTGCTTCCCTAAGGGGCTGTCACCACCCTTAGGGGCGTATCCCTACCGAGCTACTGACCCACGTGCGAAAGCGTTTAGATGCAATTGCAGAGGTAGGTTTGCCGTAGTATCGATACGCTTGGTTAACGCCAAACGGACCCGATCGTCGTCCGTTCCTAGGGCGCTGATCTTCTAGGTACGAAGCGGATGTCGGTCGACTAGGACTGTCTCAACCAAGCATGAAACCCTCAACTTTAATCCTAGTCCTTTAACATACAATCAAAAGAAAGTTATAACAATCATGCATAGTTACACCGAAAGGAATCGACTGTAATCGATAGAACGATATGTCCAATCTAAAATAATAATTAAAAGAAACAAAATTTTCATTTGATACATCCAATATCGCAAGATAAAAAAAATAATCCGACCGCCTCAGGTCGAACTCCACAAAACAATCATACAACCGCCAACAAGACGTTGTTTTTTCGAAAATAACATAGATGTCGCCGACAAGGTAATCGGTTGCCTTAGTTTTGACTTGATGAGACACGTTGCCAAAGTCATTCATTTCACCTACCGCCGACTCAAAATTCGTCACGCTCACATCTGTCTCCATACTTTCTCAATCTTATTAGATGACAGGCTACTTGATCAGGGACATTGCTTGAAGTGTTGCATGCCTCTCCCTTTAGGAAGTGGTCTGGGTACTCCTTCTCCTCGCCCAAGCAGAAAACTCGGATCTCAGAAGTCGGGCTGTCTCCACCGAATCAGCAAAGTACCCCCCTGTAGATAGTCCACTCTGGGTTGATAACAGGGTCGGCTCCTGAAGCAACGAACCCCCGCCCCAGATGTTTCCTGGAGAGAAAACATGTGTCCACTACAAGTAACTTTCAATTGTTCCCATTTTTCCTAAGTTCAGGGTAACTTAAGCAAAGGGAAATCAAAAGGGATAAATAATGAGAATCATTTGGACAGGTATAGGCAGATAAGATCATTCGGAATAGAGGCGGTCAATCCTCGGGAAAAGTTAAATTCATTATGCTTTGATTCTCTTTCTGTTTTCAAAATTCTTTTTCTCACGGCACCCATCGATTATCCTTCAGAAATAGCAAGCAAGTTCACCCAACTCACTGACGAAAGGAAAATGGTAAGGAGGCGAAACTTCTCCGTCATTTTATCAAATAGTATTTTGTCCCACTTTTATACATAGTCTTTTTACTCACCTGCACACCACGCAGACAACACAATCAAAAGAAGACAAGCAAAGTCCCACTACTCACGCCAGACCCACCTTTTCACTCATGCATGACGCCCACAACCCCACTCAACCTTTTCTCCTGAACATTCAAAGCAAAAGGCTCAAGCAATGTGTGGGTGCACACAGGTGTGAAGGGACTCTGAGTCGTCCACTGACCTTGAGTGGAGTGGTGTCGAAGGAGCGCCCTCACTCACTCAAGAAAGCCAACCAACAAGCCGTGTGTGCCGCCGAAAGTTGTAGTCTCAAGGAAAATCCTGCTCAAACCACCTCTCACTCGCACGCCTCATCCGCGGTAACCCAAGCGTGAAAACGGCGAGCCGCACACGTCCCAGAATAACACTCAGTCTGGTACCACGTCAGTCCCAATTGGTTCCAAGCGGTCCTAGATGGTCCCACGCGGTTCTAGGTGATCCCATGTTGTCAAACACTTCGCCGAATGACTGTTGAGTCGAAAACCGTTTCCGCCACACTTCTCAAAAAAATAAAATCGATGCCGAATCTCAAAACCGTCTGCGTCGGGACCGCCGCAAATGACAGCCCGCGTCCCACGTCAGTCCCAAGTAGTCCAGTCTCACTGCCGCAAGTGTTGGGTAGTCCCAACTACAAAACATTTATCTCATATGCCGCATAAAAAAAATAAACCCGTCTGTCGCGCTCAGATTTCGTACCGTCGCATGCCGTCAACCGCCACCATGTCACGCTGCTGCTGTCGTACACACCAATGGTAGCAGACCTTCACGTCGCGCCACAACAAAAACCTTTCAGCGCCATAAAAAAAAAAATAAAAATAAATTCCACTGTCGCGTCGCACGTCCCACCGTCGTGCCGCAATTCCACTGCCGTGCCAAACTCTCGTCGGAAAATAGCAGCACCTCGTCACGTCGTGCCCCGTAAAAAAAAGAAAACGGCAGCGCTCCGCCGTGTCGTACCACCGTAAAAAGACGGCGGCGCTTCGTCGTGCCGTACCACCGTAAAACAATGGCAGCGCTTCGCCGTGCTGTACCACCGCAAAAAGATGGCGGTGCTTCGTTGTGTTGTACCACCGTAAAAAGACGGCAGGGCTTCGCCGTGCCATACCACCGCAAAAAAAAGGGCAGCGTTTCGCCGTGCCGTACCACCGCAAAAAGACGGCGGCGCTTCGCTGTGCCGTTCCACCGCAAAAAAGACGGCAGCGCTTCGCCGTGTTGTACCACCGTAAAAAAAAATGGCAAGCTTCACGGTGTCGTAGCACCGTAAAAAAAAACGGCAGCGCTTCGCCGTGTCGTACCACCGCAAAAAGACGGCGGCGCTTCGCTGTGCCGTACCACTGCAAAAAGACGGCGGCGCTTCGGTGTGCCGTACCACCACAAAAAGACGGCAGCGCTTCGCCGTGCCGTACCACCGCAAAAAAACAGCAGCGCTTCGCTGTGCCATACCACCGCAAAAAAGACGACAGCGCTTC